TAACACAAAACAATAAAAAAAAGCTGTTGGATTAAAAAAATAAAGAATATTTTACCATGCTGAAGTGGTTGTCTAAAGTAAAGGAAAGTTTGGATAAAGCACCTGTCCCTGAGGAGACAGTGATAAAATGGAAGATTGCTTCTGGGTATCATAGTTTGCCAAAGTAAATCTAGACCAAGAGACTGAAATCATTTGCCTTTGCCCTTCAAGTATATAGAAGGTGAAAACACAGTGGTGAAAAATTAAACTTTAGCACTTGTTGGCATAAAATCAATAATTTGACTTGCAGTGTCTCAATATAGATTTTACTCCAAGGGTTACCTGCACCTATTGTTCTTTTGTGCCTTGTGGGATCTTAGGGATTCCAGATGTTCTTATTCTTGGGTGCTGTTTAATTGGGTTTTACTGTGACAAGGGTTAAAACCTCAATGTATTGATGAGCATTCTTATTCAAAACAAATGGCAAATGGCAAAAAAGGCTTAAGCGATCAGAGATGCAGTCGTCTAAATTCATTTTGCTGCTTATACCAATCACATTTCTCCACTGACTGAAAAAAGTCTACTCTGGCTAACTTAAGCAGAAAAGGGATTTATTGGAAAGATGTGTAATTTACAGAATTGATGAGAAGGATGGAGAAATAGGCTCCAAAACCAGGAAGGAATTAGAAACAGCTGAGAATTTGTGCTCATACCATCCATACCATAGGAAAAATCTCATTAGGAAGCCAGTTCTGTTTCTGAGACTGAGTTGTCTCTGCAACTGCGTTACTCTCTCAAGGTTGAAATCCTTTGTGGGAGCATCCTATTGACAGCCTAGATCAGCCATTTTCTTGTTTGTAGCCTTCAGGGATCCATGAGGTCTACCTATTTTTTATAATAATTCTTAGGTATCATTTGCCTTTTTTACTGTATTGACATTTGCACTGATGGTATAAAAGCATTGGTGGGCAAAAGTGCTGGTGCCATAGCATGAATCAAGCCAGGGGCATGTCTATAGCTATATATAAATATATATAAATGTATATATATATACATATATATGGATATATGTATATATATATAAAGTGTTTTTACTGACAATACTTCTGGCACCAAATGCATCGTTTTCTTCCTAACACCAGCCAATTTTCCAAATTTCCAGACATCAACTGGGTGTCCTACAATTCAATTCAATTCTGGCAGTAAGTAACCGGAGTTAATGTCAAACTCAGGGTTTAATGGCTCAGTCCCACAAGGCTGCTCTCATTTTGGTTGCCACTCATAAGTTGAGTCCCCAGGTTAGCCACACTTCTGTCTGACTTGGCTGCAAATCAGGAGTTCTCATGTCCCCACCCCCTCAGGTTTGATAATTCACTAAAATGGCTCACAGACTTCAGGAGAACAGTTTACTCATGATTAGTATTATAGTTTATTATAAAGTATGCAACTCAGGGAAACCAATAGAAGAAATCATAGGGGAAGGTATCGGGGGAGGAGGGGTCTGAATCTTCCATGCCCTCTATGAGTGTACCACCTTTCTAGCACCTTGACGGGCTCACCCATCCAGAAGCTCTCTGAATCTCCTTGTTTTGGGGTTCTTACAGAGGTCTTATTATTAATATTAGGTTATTAAGTATGAAACATCTGATTTCCTTAAGTATTAAGTTTGACAGTTGATATCTCTGGCATTTCACTTTGACACTTCTTGTTTTATTTTTCTATTATGAAGGTACATCCTCAGTCTTTCAAGTGCACATTTTGGCTTGTGATTATCTTTCAAAAAATTTTTTAGAGCAATTTTTGTGTAACCATGGATAAGCCAAAAATGTGTGTTATTTTGAATATGAGTTCTGTCATAGAACCAATGCAGTGCAGACAGTTTGAAATATCAGTGAAGTGTTTGGGAAGGATGTGGCTAATGAATGCATAGTATATCAATGGTTTGAGAAGTTCTATTTTGGTGATTTTAATCTTAAAAATGAGCCGTGTGGGTGCCCTGAGAGCAAGGTGGATAATGATGAGCTGAAAGCTGTAGTGGAAGCCAATCCATCTCAACCTGTGCATCAGTTAGCCCCAAGGCTTGACATTACTATTCCAACAATATTGGACCATTTGAAACAAATGGACAAGGTAAAGAAGCTGGTACCACATAAATGAGCATCAGAAGAGAAATCATCTCGAAGCTTGCCTTTAGTTGCTGTCATGACATAAAGGCGAACCATTTCTACACTGTATTGTTACACGTGATGAAAAATGGATTCTTTTGACAGTTGCAAGCGTTCAGCACAATGGTTGGATAAAGATGTGCCGAAACACAGTCCAAAACTGAATATTCATCAAACAAAGCTAATGGTGTCTGTTTGGTGGTCCAGCGCTGGTATTATCCACAACAGCTTCACGAAACATGGTCAATCGATTACAACAAATGTCTACTGCAACCAAATGGATGAAATGATGAGGATGCTTGTGATTAAGCAGTCGAGATTGGTCAATAGAGACAGGCAAATCCTCTTGCAAGACCACATGTTGCAAAAAACAATGCTGCTCAAACTACAGAAGCTGGACTTGGAAACTCTCTGCATACACCATATTCACCAGACCTTGGACCAACTGACCACCACTTCTTCCAGGCTTTGGTCCACTTCTTGCAAGGAAAAATAATTCACTTCTCAACAAGTTCTATAAAAGGCTTTTTGTAATTTCATTGCCACACGCTCTCTAGGCTTCTTCGCTGCTGGTATAAACAAGCTACTGTTAAGATAGCAAAACTATGTCTGTAGTGTAGGCATATTCTTTGATTAATTGTACTGCTTCTTATTTGAGATATAATAAACTGAACTTTTGATTCGAAATCAGACATTTCACATTTAGTGACCTAATATATAGGCATGTTTGACAAAATCATTGGTCATTGGTACTATCTCCAGCCACTCTCCCCTCCCAAGAGTTTCGGGTAGGGAGCTGATAGGTCCAACCTTCTAATCAAAGTTTGATCTCTCTGGCAACTAGCCCCATCCTGAGGTTACCTAGAAGCCCCACTATAAGTCACCACATTAGCATAAACTCAGGTGTGATGAGAGGGGATTCATTACAAGTAACAAATTTCCTATCGCCCAGGAAATTCTAAGGATTTTGGGGGCTCTGTACCAGGAACCCAGAACAAAAACCAAATATATGTTCTTATTATGCCACATATATGTTCTAGATATTTTTATTTTGCATATAGTCTATAGCTTCATCTTGTTTAATTGGCCAGATGTCACTGGATATTTTCAGAGTCATTTATTGGTAAGCTTAAGTTAAAAGAAAAACTTAAGACAAATTTAACAGAGTTTAATTAAGCAAAGCACTATTGGTAAATCAGGCAGCCTCCAGTACTAGAATAGATTCAGAGTGACTCCAGGGCTTCCACATGGTCAGGTAAAATTTATAGACAGAAAAGGGAAAGTGACATACAGAAAATGAAAGTGAGCTCACTATAACCTCAAATTCCTGGGCTCAAGTTATCCTCCTGCCTCAGCCTCCCCAATCCTCCTGCCTCAGCCTCCCCAGTAGCTAGGACTATAGGCATATGCCACCACACCCAGCTAAGTTGTAGTAGTAGTAGTGGTGGTAGTAGTAGTAGTAGTAGTAGTAGTAGTAGTAGTAGTAGTAGTAGAGGTGGGGTGTTACTATATTGCCCAGACTGGTTTTGAACTCCTGGCCTCAAGCAATCCTCCCACCTTGGCCTCCTAAAGTGTCTGGGATTAGAGGCATGAGCCACCATGCCCAGCCAATATCTGGGATTTTTTTTTTAAAAAGACTAGATTGTTTTTGCTGGGGAGGGCTATGACTTGAGTTTTTAGCTCCAGCTGATAGTTTAGTGCCTGAAATGGGATAGGTTCATAGTAGGTGTTTGTTGGATAAGTAATACACTTTCATATAAAGAGTCATATTTTCTGCTGTGCTGGAAAATTGTTTCCAAGAGAGTTTGCTTTCACTAAATACAATAACATTTCATAATGCATGCCAAGAAACTGCTCTGTGTTGTGATGGTGGGTAGGTATGAGATGGGACGGGGAAGAAGCAATAAAATGTGGTGGAGAACACTCTTTCAGACGTGAAACTAAATATAAGAGGATGATATAATTGAACCTTTGAATTGCGTATTTTGTTTTATTTTAAAGGTCCCACTCTTGTCAAAATCCTGTTTTGAGAGTATACTGGGCCGGCCAAGCCTCTGAGTGCCTGCCTGACAAACCACCCATTTAAGGGAAACTGTTCTGCCCCGAGCCCTTGCTGTAAGCTCTTGCTGGCTGTGGCCAAATAGATCCTGGAAGACTGAACTGAGAAGAGTAAATTGTGGCCTAGTACAGAAAGATGAACTGGGCTAATCGTATTTTTTTCCTGGAGAATTTAAAACTGTAAAATGTGGATAGATGAAGACAGTTAACAGTCAGGGCAAAAATTCAAACAGTATGTTAGGAAATATTTTGAGGTAAACATGAGGATACCATGTGTTATGGGGAAGCAAAAATATGAGATATCAGAGAAAGCCATTTAATAGTGGAGTGGAAAGAATAAGATATTTGGAAGTAAGCTGTGTATTAATTAACAAGGAAAGCAATTGAAGATTGATTGCCTTTTTGATTGATTAATTGATTAATTCCTGTATTCAACACATTATGTATTGACTTACCGCTATGTACCAGGCGGTGTTCTAGCCAAGAGTATTGCTCTGAAAAATGATTAAACCAGCGATTCTCCACCAGCTGCGATTTTGCCTACACCAGAGGACCTTTGACAACGAAACTTTGGTTGTCACAACTGGGTAGGAGAGGTGCTGTTGGTATTTAGTGAGTAGAGACCAGGGATACTGCTAACTATTCTACAATGCACAGGATAACTGGCTTCAAAAAGAATTATCTGGCTCAAAATGTCAATATATCTGAGGTTGAGAAAGCCTGGAATAAACCATCCTAAGTATGTGTTTCATAGAATTATTATTGTGTAGTTGACATTTTAAATATCTGTGTTTTTAGGAAAAAAAGGACGTTCACTGGAGTAAAATGGAGGCCTCAGTAATATTACCCATTCTGAAGAAGAAACTAGCCTTCCTTTCAGGTACGTTTTCTTCTTAAAATTAGCAGTGTTTGATATATAAATTTATTTCAACTTTTCTTTGGTAAATTTGACAGAAATACATTTTATTTTTCTCTGAAAGCTTAAAAGGTATTTCTAAGACATCTTATAATCAGAATGGATAGTTGTATGAGCTAACTCTGTCTCTGCTGGCTCTTGGCAAGCCAACTTTTATTCTGTTCTATAATTTGATTAAAATGGTCTCTTCAAAGCAGATGTCATTATGTCTCACTTCTTATACAAACATGTAAAAATTAATAATTGACTAACTGGCATCTAAATAATTGTTTCTGAACTATAGAGTAATCCGTCTTTATGATATCCTATATCCTAGCTTTTGTTTTCCATTTTCCAGTGACAAAGTTTCAGTACACTAGAGAAGTTATAAAATATCAATAATGCTGTTTTCAGTTTTTGCTGTTCAAAATTGTTCATACAGTCTTGAATTTACCTTGAGTTATTAATATTAACCTAAAGTCTGCACCAGCTGAGTCATGGAGAAGCCGTGAGATGCTTTACTAGTGTGGGAGCAGTGGTGTGGTACGGTGGGTGTCCTGGTCTCCTGGATATTGTAGTGATCTGGCCTGTGGATCATTCTAAAGCACATGTTTAGAATACTGTGGCCCTGCCAATTTAGGGTTATTTCAACTGTATTACCTTGCTTTCTCTTTCTTTCCTCTTTAGGTCTTGTCATAATTGTCTTGATAATACTAATATCTTTTTTCAAAGTATATTGTGTTTCTCTGTAAATTGGCATGTTTTCCTAGTGTAGATTATAAAGGGCAAAATAAGAGATTGAATGCCACTAGTATTATTGTTTCCTTATTTAATATGTATTTTCTTTTTCTTTTTAATTTAACTTCTCCCTTCATTGGTTGGCACTTACATTTTCCTCATTCTTTTCTGATATGAATGGTATTGTAAACGTTCTTATTTGTGGCTTTGTGCATTTTATATAAATTCAGTAGTATAAATTCTTATAAATGAAAGTGTTAAAGAGAATATGCATGTAAGTTTGTGTTAGACTTTGTCAGATTGCCCTCCAAGAAGATTGTTTCAATTTCTGTTTCCCCAACAGTATATGAAAATGCCTGTTTTCCCACACTGTTGACAATAGTGGAATAATCTTATCACAGACATTTTTGCATCCTGTGACACTTGTCTCTGGGCAGCATTTGACCCTGTTGACCACACCTGTTTTGAAAGTCTTTTTCCTCTTGGCTTCTGCAACAGACCTCTTGTATTTTTACACTGGTGATTATTTTATTGTCCCTTAGTGAAAGCTGAGGGCATGGAGTTAAATCTAGTCCTGAATGTTAAAGTAGTCCTATCTACAGTGGATCAGAATGCCCCAGTATACATGTTAACCTTTTTATAGATGTGGTTTAATGCATAGATAAAGCTTAGCAATTTTGAGGAGTAAATAAAAGACCTCTTAGCCCACCCTTTTTAACTTCCTCTCTTGACCTTTGAATATTTAAGCCAGATGATAAAATCTTTTCAAACCAACAGAATTGCTCAGGGGATACAATCTAAATACTGCTTGTGTTAATGCATTCTTTTTTAAAAAAATAAGCTTTTATTCTAAACAAGAAAATAGGCAGCTGAAGTCATTATTGATTATTAAGTTGAACCATCTGAAATTGCCATTTATTAATGTTAAACAAAGTGGTTGAATAGTAGTAATTTGTATGGTGGACCTAATGTGTGGCAGAAATTCATTTATGATTGGCATGTCATGAATTGCATTCATGTCACTAACAGGAGTCTTTCTTTTCATTTCATACCTTTCCGTTTTTAGTGATAGATTTCTAGAAGTCATGTAGAATTGTTTCCTTCAGTGTTTGCTGTTTTTTAAGCTTCTAGAATTGCCATAAAATGTCAGTTGCCTCAGAAGATGGGTGCTTCAGTATGAAAGTCAAGCATATAAGAGGCTTTCAAAGATGCTATGTGTGTATAGAAGTTCCTAAAAGTTATATTTTAACACTTAAGACAAACTGAAGGGGACTTGAACATACGTGAAATGTAAGTTTGTTCTACTACCTGGCTTTCAGGCTTCAGTATCTCAGACCCGTGCACTCTTCTCAGCTGGGCAGGGCTTTCTCTCTGTTGCCTTATGAACAATATATGCCTATCTGACCTTCGTGAATTAACTCAGATCATTCCTTATCACGGAATGCTCTTTTGACTTGGTGTACAAATTCTACCCCGTTTTTCTTAAGACTTAACCTTTTAATGAAACTTTTCACATTTATTGAAGCTCTTACCATTTTCTAAATCCCTTTTTATGATATTTTATATTTTATACAATGCAACTTAGCAAATAAACTATCATATTTCTTACTATTATTTCTTATGACTGAAATCTTTTCTTCCTAGGTTGATTGGAAATTTATTTTATTTGCAAATGCTTATTGTGCTAGGCATACAATAGATGTTCGATTAGTTGATAAAAATAAGAAGCAGACTAAATGGGAGAAAATTAAATAAAATGATGCTACATTTGCATGAAGATTTCATGAGTAAAGTTTTTTCCTTTATTTTTTCTAAATATTCTATGATTTTGCTATATATTGTAAACATTTACAATATAAAACTAGCCATTAGATATTTTTAAAATTGTCTTAAACTTGTAATTTTTTTTCATAACATTGGATTCAGCATATGTTATTTAGATAATGCCTTAATATCTTACTAAATGTTAAATTTATATCTTTTTTCTTTAACAGGAGGAAAGGACAGACGAAGTGGCCTCATTCTGACAATTCCATTATGCCTTGAACAGACAAATATGGATGAGCTGAGTGTCACCTTAGACTACCTCCTCAGCATCCCAAGGTGACTCTAAAGTTGTCTTTTCTTAAATCTTAATATGTTTGCATTCACTTACTAATGATTTCTGCTATTGTTGAAGTATACTTTGCTATCTTATCTGCTTTTATTAGCAATGAAGTTATAATTAAAAATACTATTAGTAGAATCAACGACTTGTGACACCATCACAGATTAAATATATTATGCTCTTGCACACTTAATGATATACAGGTTTCCAAAATGTATGTACCATCAATTTTTAGGAACACAGTGATTAAGCATCTATATATCATGGGGCTTTAGAAAAATTAGAGAAGTTAATTCAGTAGAACCATCTTTTATTTAGGTAACTATTGCACTATATTGATATAAATACATCTGCATGTTTCAATGAGTTAATAGAGGCTATTAGGAGTTTAAAAATATTTTTATTTAAAAAAATAATAATACAAAAAGTTGCTCAAGTCTACCCATCACTTCAACAACAAAGACAAAAAAGCTTCCTCCCCGACTTCCTGTCCCATAACTGATATCTGGGAGCTAAAGTGTGACTGCATGTTAGAATCATCTGGAGAATTTTTTCAAAATTCTAATGCCTGTGGTTTCACTTTTAGAGATTCTGATCTAGTTGTTTTTGGGAAGCCTGCTCATCATATTTTTTTAAATCTTTTAAGCTTCCTATATAATTCTAATGTGCATCCAGATTTGCAAACCACTGCAATAAAGCGTGAGAATGATGGCAGGGTGTGTGTGTGTGTGTGTGTGTGTGTGTGTGTGTTTGTAAAATGTAGAGATAAGAAAAATGAATAAAACTATCTCATATAATGCTCTTAAGGTATAGCTAGTAAATTGAAACATTTTAGTCAGAGTAAACAATTCTTTGTATTTTTCCATATATTTGCATTTTATTGACATAATAGTTTATTTCATTTTAAACCACTCTATTCATTTGCAGAACAAGGAGAATATAATTTGAATATGAATATAACATCTTTAATTGATCATTTATTTGTCTTTGTAGACTTTAGAAGGGTCAATGTAGAGAGTGAGAGTGTAACTGGGATGGCTCTACTATACTTTTATTTTTTTTTTTATGAGACAAACTTACCAAAAAGTTTGAATCATTGCTGTCCTTTTTCTTTCTCAATAAATGCACTTATAGCAAGTGGAGACAGAATTGCATTGACCTTAGAGTTACTTCAAAGCGCTATAGTTAAGTGCTCTGAACATGCTTTATGCTTTTGATGAGTGACTTTTTAATATTCATTTCATTTATTCCACAAACATGTATTGAAAATTTATAATGTGCCATTTAAAATGTGACAGCCGAATCAGTGTTTCTTGTCTTTGCCATGTATTTTTTTGTCTGTCATCTCTGTTCTCTTTTCTTACTCTTAAGTTCACATACAGGGATGGCCAATGTTGTCAAACAATAGCCAAGTTAGTTTCTATGTCCCCGTTCTTTTCCTGATTTGCACCCAAGTGCAAGACTAATCTCCCCAAAACAGCAGTTGCACCATCCTTCTCAGTTTCCTCTGACCTTCTCTCCTCCTTTCTACACAATGAATTCAGTTCAGTAGCTGTTTTCTTTTGCTTAGCAAGCACAGACACTGTATATCATGCAACGTGTAGACAAGAGACACCAAGTCTTTGCTTTCAAGGACGTTCTTTCAGCCTTCTTAACTGCTATGCCAAGACCTGTGATTTGACTCACCTTTTTCAGTTAATGTATCTTGAGCACCTACCATGTAAGGCACTTAGTTTTAAGTACCTCTATTAACTAAATCTTCAAAATAAATTGATACAATAGGTACTGTTATTATCTCCATTTCATAGATGAAAAAGGCAAGGCAGAGAAGTTAAAAAAAACCTTCCCAGACTAATAAGTGATACCTTTGTTCATAATTTTCCTGCTTTCTGTCTGTCCTTTAAGTTTCATTAGCTCCTTTATATAGGTACTTCCCAGATTCCTCCATCTGTTCTCTGAACTTACAGTACTTGCTGTTTCTGACTTGTTAGGCATTTAATCACAATGTGCTTAATTTTGATTCTTAATTTTAATTCTTGAATTTTTATATTTATTATTTAAGTGTTACGTGTTTTTAAGATTCTGAAGGTTTATGTTGTTTCCCTAATGACATTAAATGAGATAATGTCTATGAATATAAACTAGACACTAATTAAAATACTTTTCTGCCTACCTTTCCAAAAAGACTCTAAGCTCCTTGAGGAGAGAAACTGTCTTATTATTTGTATTTTCATAGCCCTGTGTGGTACCTCATACTTTATCAATGATCAGCAGTCAATAGGTGTGGATTTCTGCCCTTATTTTATTTTATTACTTGTTTGTTCAGAGCTCTGCATACTCAAATAAGGGCTTACAGGACCTGGTAATTCACCATTCTCAGAGCATCTCACATTTTGTTAGAAAATCAAATAAACATGAGCAGAAGTTGTCTGCTCAGTAGAAATTGTTTTGGTGGATAAAACATTTATCTAGGTTGATTTTGCCTTCCTTTTAGAACTTTAAATTCAAATTGGACCACGGAATTTACTTACAATGATGATTGGGAGAGAGATATGGAAAGAATAGCTCATATTTAACGAAATAATAGATAACATTAAGTTATTTAATTCTCATAACATCCCTATGAGTACTATCATCTTCATCCCCATCTTACATGTGAGGGAACTGGGGCATAGGAAGGGTGGACAGTTTAGGTATCTTGACCAAGAGCATGTGGCAAACCAGGGTTAGGGAAGGAATTTGAACCTGGCCATCTGACTCCAATTCTGTATTTCTGATCACTGTGCTATAGCTACCTGTTATAATCACAAAGCCATAGCTATTGGTAATCTCTAGTAAATTTACATAAAACCTGGATTCATCACAACTGATAATTGACAGATGAAAATAACTCTGTCAATATAGTAAAATATTATAAAAGAAATCTCATAAAAGAATTTCCTTTAAAAGAAATCTTAAAAATATTTCTCATTCTAACATTTTCCTTGAATAGTATATTAAGTATACCTTTAAAATTACAGTATTTTCTAGCTCAAAGGGAAGTTATTGATAAGATAACATTTTACCAAGAGATGATTGAAATGAGGGGCAGGCCCCACAGATAAGTGATGAAAGGGCATTCAAGACGTAGGGAACAGTAAGTGCAAAGGCCCTGGGGCAGGAACAGGCTTAGCATGTTGTGGGAATAGCAAGGAGCCTGGTGTAGCTGGAGCAGTTTGAGAGATGAGCAGAGTGCTGGGAAGGTGGTCAGGAAGGGTGGCTGGAGTGAGATCACAGAGGACCATGTTGGCCATGGTAAGGGCTTTAATTCTAAGTAAGGAAAGCCATTGTTGTGTTCCGAGGAGTGATGTGATGTGTGTCATCTAATATTTTTAAAGGCCCTCAGTATTTAAGGCAGTGTTCTAGAAACTGCCAAGATATTAGTAAGATAATATTCTTGCTTTCTGGAAGCATGACATCTAATGAAGATAAATTGTAAACAAGTAATTATAATAAAAACATAAGTGAAATTAGTGCTATTATGTAAGTATAAGCAGAGCTCTATGAGTGGAAGAGGAGTCCTCAGTTGTAGTCAGAGTCATAAGTGAAGAGCTGCAGGATACTGACCCCAGGAAATCACTGACAGTCCCTTTCTATGTGGAAAGTGAGTGAGCTTGTTAAGCAGCCTCATTTCTTTTACGCAGCTGTTCTAACTCAGCCACATCACCCTTGAACGGCTCTAATGGAGTAGGAACAAGGAGGCAGGGTCTTAGATTTTCTTTTTTTTGTTTCTGTTCTTAATATATAATTATAAACATGTTAACAGTAGTATAGGAATTTATTAATAATAGCACTTTAGTTCTTCAATATACCCCTTATAAAGAGCATAACATGCTTCTGAATTAAGTATGTTGTTAAAAGCAGTTTAAACCATCCTTCTGCTTGTAGGAATGAAGTAAAAAAAAAAACCCAAAACTAATTTGTTTCAAGTACCTGAAAAACTATTTGGTATTGCAATTTTGAAATAGTTATCTTTGCATCATGTGTATTTTCATTGTCTAGCTTAGTAAAATGTGAGGAAGTTATGACTAAGGGTGTTTTTAAATACTCTACAAGATAAATTTAGAGTATTTTATGGCTTTTAAGATCATTACAGATGGTATTTGCAAACTTCATTACTTTATTAGTCTTAATGTACAGATTAATTTATACTATACTTTGAAATATAAATGTTTGTGTAAAACTTATTTAACAAAATGGTTGTGTAACCTGTATCTCAGAGATGTGGATGCCGATGACTAGAGAGTACCGAGTTGTGGGAATGGGAGACTCCTCTTGGTGGGAGGGCCTTCCACTGGACAGCTCTGTGTCTCAGTTCTCCTTCCTGCAAACTCCCATCATGCATTGGTAGAGTCCCTGAGTTGCTGCCACTTTTCAAAGACCACTCAACAGCCAGCTACCCTGCCTAGACTGATCTCTCTTGGGCTTGTATCTAAGTCATGGCAGTCTTCCTAGATGTCTTGTTGGTGGGGAACTCCAAGAATTCCCTCATTACCAGAGCCTACAGATTGTAATTCGCTGTCGGGTTTGGTTCCCTTTCCAAGTCTTTATTTGCTTTTGCTAATTTAGAAGTGATCATTGTATTGCCTCACCTTTTTTTCCCTAAAGAATGCTTAGTGGATTCCTTACTTTGTAATGCAAATCCAAAAATAGAGTACTTAACTTACTTTTTACTGAGATATAATTCACATATGATAAAAATCACCCTTTAAAAGTATACAGTTCAGTGGTTTTTAGTATATTCACTGAGTCGAATATAATCACACTAATTCTAAAACATTTTTGTCAGCCCAAAAGGAACCCCGTATTGCTGTCACTCCCCGTTCTCCCCTCCCCACAACCCCTGTTAACTATTAATCTGCTTTCTGTGCTTGTGGATTTTCCTATTCTGGACATTTTATATAAGTGGAATCATATAATATTTATCCTTTTGTGTCTTGCTTCTTTTATTTAGCATAATGTTTTCAAGGTTTAGCCATGTTGTAGCATGTGTCAGTACCTCATTCTTTTTTAGGGCTGAACGTTTCATCGTGCAGCTGTACCACATTTTGTTTTCTTTGTTCATCAGCTGATGGACGTTTGGATTGTTTCTACTGTTTGGCTTTTGTGAATTATGCTGCTGTGAACATTTATGTGCAAGTTTTTGTGTGGATATATGCTTCAGTTTGCTCCCTTCTTGAAGACTTTTTTGTTTACTTTGGAAGCTCAGCTTCTCTCCTTGCCTACCATCATCACTTTCATGATCTCACTGTTTCTCAATAGAACTGGACATGACTTTCCCAAGAGCCCTCTTGGAAGTAATGTGAGTACTTACAGGGAGTAGGGAGGACTAGTAAACCCCCCTGGACTGTTGTTGGATTTAAATCCCAGGAAAAGTCTACTATTTACCTCTCCTATAATGTATGTAATTGTGAAACCTTTGAGTGGGGACAGCTTTCACTACCACACGCTTGCTCTGCTAAGCAAAGCTACATTTCCTTCCACTGTGGTGGAAAGAGGACAATCGAGATCCTTACATTAAGTTGATAAGTAAAATGGTAATAGTAATAATGATAGCTATGTAAAGTTTGGTCTTTAGGTTGGAGTTTTTCCCTATAGAAACTGTTGCGTATTACTGAGGTAGACTTCTGGGACATGTTTAGTAAATACTTGAATGACTGAATATAATATAAGAATAACACATTTTCTAACACTCAAGATAATATTTTACTGGCCAAGTGACTGAGAATGCAAAAGTGAGAGCGGAGGTAGATTAGACATGATCTGTTCAGCTTTGAATCACTATGTACAGCAGGTGCTACCTCATCTCATTAAAAAGAGTACCAAGAAGCCCATTTTCAATGAGTTAGTAATAGTTTATTTTCTACCTCTTTTGAACTATCAATTCACAAATCTAATGCTTCTGGCAGGAAGGAGAGACAAGTACATAACACACTTGGCATCATTAATTACCTACTTCCCTGTAATCCCATTTTACAGATGAAGTAACTGAGAAGCTGAATGTTGCTTTGATTTTTTCACTTTTTAAGACATTGACTTTCTATGCTTTTAGAGTAATTTTCTTGCCAAATTAGCTTGTAAATTATTAACATTTCCTGAAGTGAGAAAAATAAATTGCTTGAGAAAATGAAAGAATACTCTGAAGAATTTTTTAAATTTACTACCAATGTAAACCAAACCATGGGAGATTAATTCTACTCTGTATATGATTACACTTTCAACCTTTTTTCTTTAGAATTATGAAGAATAAAATCTGGAGCTTGTTTTAATACTTCCTAATTTTGTTTTGTTTTAGTGAAAAGTGTAAGGCTAGAGGATTCACCGTGATCGTGGATGGCAGGAAATCACAGTGGAATGTGGTAAAAACAGTAGTCTTAATGCTACAGGTAATTTCATTTTCATCTGTCAGGAAATGGTTTTTATTTTACAGCAACATCATGGTGAAAATGGCAAATGCATTTCATTTATTGAACTATGTCAGGCCTCTCAGCAGTGACTGAGTTCTGAAAATGCACGTGTCACTATTAGATTACTCAACTTCAATTTTTATAGGTTTGAATTTAAGTAGTGAAATAAATCTCAACCCTATTCTAAAGGTTTGTCATTAGTTGAAAATAATATGTCATGTTTATGTAATTTAGGCAAGGAGTTCAGTGATTTTAAAAGTGTGAGGGCAGACATTTCCAGACTCATCTGGGAGCTTTTGCACTGTGTGATGTCTGTACCATTCTCCCCCTGTACCCCATTTTGTTACTATAGGTAGGTAGCAAGATTGAGTAAGTTTAGTTTGAGGAAGCTTCTCAGGTGATTCTAGTATGTCTTTTCCTTCTAGTTTCCTATTTCCTCCACAAAGCATCAGTATTTAATGATGTTCTTATTATTTATTTAATAACCCAGAAGAAATTTACTTAACAGCTATGTCCTCAGGGATTTTAGCAGCTCACAATTAACATATAATGAACACATATGATTACAGAGTCCTTGAGCTCTGATGCCAGTCTTTCATTTTATATTTCCTTGTATGCCTCAAAGAATGTTTCCATGCTCCCTGGCATGTAGTAGATGCCCAGTAAACATTTGTTGATTTATTTTTAGGGTATTGAATATATTATGATTTGAAATGGAAAAATAAAATATTTGAGTGATTGGAGGGGCAGATTATTCTCATGCACCTGGCTTTCCTCAGAAGGGCTTCTAGGGAAGGTAAAATTTGAGTTAAATAAAAAGAGGTTATCTAATTTAATTGAAAGGAAGTGAAAAGGACATTCCTGGTGGGGACTCTTAGTCATAGCTCAAAAATGAAGCAAATATAGTGAAAGGAGTTGATAGCAGGCCAGTTTGGGGGAACTATAGGTTGGTAGTAACATGGGATAGTGAACATACAATTAGGTGAATGTCAGTGATATTAATAGAAAGATCAAGAATTTTAAATGAATTTGAGAAATATAATTGGCAGCTGCTTTAGGGTTCTACAGAAAGGAATGTAATGTAAAAATTTAAATTATAACTAGGGAGAATGATTCTTAATGTTTTATCATTTATATATGATAATTGGGAAAAAGGACTTTGAGGGGTGGGAACTAAGTGCTAATTTTAGTTTTTAGTTTTAGTGCTTAATATGGTTGAGATACTGTGCGTAGTACGCTTGCTATATAAATTAGCTCATTTAATTTTAGTCTCACAACCTTGCACATCAGGTCTGTTATCCCCAAAGTTCAACTGAGGTGCCAGGATTTTAGATAATTGAAAATTGGAACTTGACACAACTTAAGCCCCAGGCCTTGGCTTTTTCCATTACGAGGTGTTTATTTACCAGTGACTTGTATTTGAGGTGGTCCCCAAATTATTTAACCATTGCCTCATTCTTCTTAAATGTTTGACCTGAACTTTCCATGTTGGAATCACTCTAATATGTTAGAAAGAACATAGCCTCTGGAGGATCAGTTTTTAAGGGAGCACAAATTGGCATCCCATAATAACTTTTTCTGTCAAACAATGTTTCCAGCACTTTTATATTCCAAATCCTGAAGATTAACTCTTCTCTGTGAAAGTTGTTAAAGTAACTATTAGGTGAAAAATCCATTAATTATGACCTTGTGTTCTTCCTTTCATCCTGTCACTCAAGTGTGTCACAGATGAGCTGTTTGGGACTTGCTGTTTGAACTGGACTTTGATCAGTGGCAGTTTTGAAGAACCGTCAATGGATGATTTAATCCCCTCTTGCAATTTCTTTTCTGATAGATATTTTAACAACTTTTGGATATATTAATAGTTAACATTTTCAGAAGTGGCAGTGGTCTATTTATTCCTAGTCAGACAATTTCTACACGTGAAGTCATTCATTGCTTTTATCTCAAAAGGGACTGGGACCAGCTATTTGGGAGCCCAGATATCAGTACTGTCTCTGCCTGTAACTAGTGGTCTCTAAAATGAGGGGCTTGGTTTGTCTGGTTTCTCACAGCCTTCATATTCAATGATTTTCAAATAATAATCTTACACAAGGCAATATGTGAATAAACTTCAAATCTACCTTGAATTTTCCAGCCCCTCTGATAAAAGCTTTGACAACATTAATTAATTTTACTTACCTTAGTCATAGCCCAATCATTGTAGGGGGAACTAGATTTCTAACATGCTCAATGACATGTTTACAGTGAAAGATTTTCTGTTTTCTCCTTAAAAAAGTGATTATTCAGTACAGTTGTTTATAGTCTAGTACAGAGGTTGGGCCCTTGAGTTTATAAATAAAGTTTTATTAGAACTCAGCTAGGCCCATTCATTTATATATTGTCTATGGCTGCTTTCACACTACCTCAACAGAATTGAATAGTTAGGACAGAGACTTTATAGCCTGCAAAGTCCACAGTATTTATTGTTAGGACCTTTCAGAAAGAATTTACCAACCCCTGGTCTAGAACATATGAGTTAGTGTTATAGGACTTCAGAATCAGACCTGATTTCTATTCTAGCTTCATGACTTTTTAACTCTGTTACCTTAGACAAGTTACTTTAGTTTTCTGAAGCTCAAATTACTATTCTGTCAAATTGGGAGAGTGGGATCTGCTTGTTAATGAGGATTTATTTATTCAACAGTTTTTCACGGAGTGTGTTTTATATGTTAGACTCTATCATAGGCACTGGAAATATAGGGGTGACATAATAGATAAGGTACCTGCCATTGGGAAGCTTATATTCTACTTGAGAGGTCAGATGGTAAGCAGTTAAGCAAATTAATAAATAACATACTGTCAGATGGCAATAAATGCTATAAAGAAAAACGCAACAGTAACCGGAAACTGAGTCAGATGGTGCCGCTTTAGATAGGGTAGACTGGGAAGGCCTCTCTGAAAAGGGAATATTTAAATAGCATCTGAAATAAACTGAAGGAGCACTCCTAGGTATAAGGCAAAGGACGTTCCAGATGGAGGAAATGGCATGGGTAAAGACCTGGGGTGGGGACAGACTTGTCATATTCCAGGAGCAGTGAGAAGGTCAGCGTGGCTGTGGTAGGGGAGTGAGCTAGGAGGGGAGAGGTGCGAGGGAGGTCTGAGAGGTCAACGGGGACCTTATAGGCCTTGTTAAGTAGTTTGAATTTCAATTTAAGAATGAGACAATGTCAAGCAGGGAGGCCTGTTACAAGGATATTTTAGAAAGCTAGCTAGTTAGGGTATATTAACAATGCAGGTGGTAGAAATGGTTAGATTTAAGAGAGATTTTAAAGTTAGACTCTATGAGACTTGCTGATAAAATATATGTGGAATACTTATTAAGTTAATAAATGTTAATTTCTGTTCTTTAGGTAATATGAATAACTATATCTAGTAAATGTGAAATTGTCAAAATGTGTATTTGTCAAAGATTAGCTCTTTGTCTTCTTCAAGTTAATAATCATGAGAAAATTTTGTTAGAAAATTGATTTTACATCTTTTGAAGAAATTCTCCAAGGTGATGGTGCTAGAAATTTTTTTCTCATATCATAGAAAAATCAAATTTAATAATTTCTCAACTAAAAATTAAGTCTTGCCATTTAATCTAAACATATTCCTAGTACAGAGGTTCAATAAAATTATGTACTTTGTTTATTTTTTATTTTTTTGAGACAAAGTCTTGCTCTGTTGGCTGGGCTAGAATGCAGTGGTGTCATCATAGCTCACTGCAACTTCCAACTCTTGGGCTCAAGTGATCCTCTTACCTCAGCCTCCCAAGTAGCTAGGACTACAGGTGTGCACCACCAAGCCTGGCTAATTTTTACAATTTAAAGAAAAAAAAATTATAGAAACAAGGTCTTGCTATGTTGCTAAGGCTGTTCTCAAATTCCTGGCCTCAAGTATTCCACCCCCCTCAGCCTCCCAAAGTGCTAGGATTACAGGCATGAGCCACTGCACCCAGCCTGTACTTTATACATCGATGTAAAATGATTCACATGTACTGGCTGTGTTATATTATTGGAAATCTTTTCTGAATCAACTTTTCTTTCAAGTACTTCTTTATTGCTATGTATCTTCAAAGTTTGGAGAATTTCTTCTACTTTATTTTAATTATTTTCCAAAGGTCTCTTAGCCTAATCATGAATATCTAGTAATTTATAAATTTAGTAAATTGCTCATTTTACATGTGTAATTCTTAATTATTTTTCTGTATTTTATAGAATGTTGTTCCAGCTGAGGTGTCCCTTGTTTGTGTAGTGAAGCCAGATGAATTCTGGGATAAGAAAGTAACACATTTCTGTTTTTGGAAAGAAAAGGATAGACTTGGCTTTGAGGTAAATATAATCTATAAAAAAAGAACAGAAGTATGTTATATCTTTACAAATAAGATTTTTTGGTATTATTTTGTTCAGCATTGGTTACTAAGCAATGCTTTAAGCAATGCTTAATTATTGCTTAAGTAATAATTAGTATATAGTCAGCACTCAAATACTTATTGAATGAGTTATGATTCTTTGTTAAAGACCACGAAAGATTTCTTGTTTTCATTTATATCACTATTTGTTAACTCCTTTGAATAAGTAGAACCTTTTGTATTTATTAATAAAAATTTCTTACTGTATTTCCAAAAGAAAAGTTAATGAATACTAGGAAATCCTAGACATTTGGGAATTGAAGTTAGTGTTGATTTTCCATGATATATTATAAATATAATTATTTTTTAATATCCGGCTTGGTTTTGATACATGAAGACAATTAGCTGTTATTTACTACTGACTTTCCTCCCTCTCTCTCTCTCTTTTACTTGCATGAAAGTACATCTTATTATAGGTTAGAAACAAGCCCTAAAAAGGAATATAAATACAAACAATTTGTTATAGTTTCCCTTCCATACCTATTAATTGCCAGTTTCCCAGTAGGAGAGTTGATAGATACCAAACTTCACAGTGTTTAAGTGTGGAAACTTTGAAGGATGCAAAGTCTAACCCCAACCCAGTAGAATATAGATATGGACCTTTGTAATGCTTACAAAGAGTCAGATAATAAAGATTGTCATTTTGGACTTTGTCATACTATATAGTCATTTTTATTTTCACTGAAGTCAATGTCAGTATATTTTTGGTATGGAGGAAACATCATCAATGTATATTAGATAGAAATATTTCAGAAAGCCTAGTTTATTCTTTTTTTGGATACATTATATTTGTGCATATTTATGGTGTACATGTAAAATTTTGTTACATGCATAGAATGTGTAATGATCAAGTCAGGGTATTTATCATACTGGTTTATTCTTAAATGAGATGGCTTGAAGTGTTTCAAAAATGTATAGTTTTTTTCTTCACTTTAAAAAAGTTTTAGCAGTGAAATTCATCTATTTAGTGTGCAGTTCTGAAAGTTCTGACAAACACACAGTTATGAATCTCCTACCATAATCAAAAAATCAGGAAATATCTCATCACTCCCAAAATTCCTCCATACACCTCTGTAGTCAACTACTTCTCCATCTTCGGCCTCTGATTGGTGGTAGAGGAAAACTGCTTCTCTACTCACAAATTGGGGATTCCTATAACTCCCTCCTCAGGTTTAATAGTTTGCTATATTGGCTCACAGAACTCGGGAAAACACTTTACTTACATTTACCAGTTTATTATAAAGGATATCATCAAGGATACAAATGAACAACCAGATGAAAAGATACATAGGGCGAGGTCTGGAACAGTCTCAGGAGCTCTGTCCCGGGGCAACTGGGATACACCACCTTCCTGGTCTATGGATAACATGTTCACCAACCCAGAAGCTCTCGAAATTTTATACTTTAGGAGTTTTTATGGAGGCTTCATTAAAAAGGCATGATTGATTAAATATTTGACTATTGGTTATTAACTCAATCTCTATCTCTTCTTTCTTCCCTGGAGGTAGGAGGGTGGGGCTGAAAGTTCCAGCTCTCTAATCATTCCTTGATTTTTCTGATGACCAGCCCTCATCTTGAAGCTGTATAGGGAACTCCAGGGTCTCCAGCTACCTGTCTCTTGAGCATACAAAAAGACACTGTTATCACTCCAGAGATTCCAGGAGTCTTAGAAGTTCTTGTGTCAGGAAATGGACTAAGACCAAATATAGCAAAAGATGCCCTTATCACCTAGAAATTACCAGGGTTTCAGGAGCTCTGTACCAGGAACCCGGGACAAAAAGCAAATATGTAGTTCTTATATCACAATAAGACAGATGATGTCTGTTCTTTTTTTTTTTTCCTTAAATCTTTTGTTTTCTTGTTACTGAATTTTGAGAGTTTTTGTGTATTTTGGATAGAAAGTCATCAGATACGTGATTTACAAATATTGCATCCTACCTTGGTGTTTGCATTTTCATTCTCTTAACAGCATTTTTTCTAGGAGAAGTTTTTTTAACCTTGTGAAGTCCAGTTTTTCAGTTTTCTTTTATGAATCAGACTTTTGGTGTCATATCTGAGAAATCTTTGCCTATCCCAAGGTCACAAAGATTTTCTCTCATGTTTTCTTCTAGAAGTTGTATAATTTTACGTTTTAAATTTAGATCTGTGATCCATTTTGAGTTAAGGTTTATGAGCTATGGTCAAGAATATGTATTTTATGATTTTAGTCATGTTAAATGTGTTAAGGTTTGATTTTTGACCTACTATCTGGTCTATCTTGGTGAGTTCCTTGTCTACTTACAAGATATATATTCTTCTGTGTTGGCTGGAATGTTCTGTAACTGTCAAGAAGATTCATAGTGTTGTTCAGGCCTTCTTTATTCTTGGTAATAGTCTGTTTACTTGTTCTTTCAATTACTAAAAGAGGAATATTTCAGTCTGCAACTAGAATTGTGGATTTATTTCTCTTTGCATTTCTGTCAGTTTTTGCTTCATATATTTTGAAGCTTTGTTGTTTAATGCATAAAGATTTAGAATTGTTAAATCTTCTTGGTGAGTGCAGACCACTTTATCATTATTAAAGTTCCTTATATTTGGTTCTAAAGTGTACATTGCCTGATATTAATATAACTATTCCAGCTTTTGCGTATCATATCTTTTTCCATTCTTTGACTTCTGTCCACTTATATTTAAAATGGATTTTTCTTAGATACCATAAAGTTGGGTCTGCTTTCATATCCAATTTGACAATCTCTTTTCATTGGTGAAAATTTATATTGGTGACCATTTATATTGAATGCATTAATTGATACAGTTGTATAGAGTCTACCATCTTGTTACATTTTATGTATTTTTGTTTTCTACCTTTTGGATTGAGTATTTTTTATGATGACATCTTATCTCCATTATTAGCTTATAATTTATAACTCTTAATCTTTTTAATGGTTGCCCTAGGGTTTACAATATATATCTTTAATTAATCAAAGTCTTACCCTCAAAGAATATACCACTTCACAGCAAGGATAAGGACCTTAAAACAGTGTATCTCCGACACTTCCCTCCTATTCTTGTCATATATTTTACTTTTACTGTGCTATTTAACACAATACATTGCAGCTATTTTTGCTATACATAGTCTGTTGTCTTTTACAGCAACTAAAATTTAAAAAATGAATTTTATATTTACCTTCGTGTATTCCATTTCTGATGTTCTTCATTTCTTTTTGTAGATTCAACTTTTTGTCCGATATCACATTCCTTCTGCCTAAAGTACTTCTTTTAATATATCTTTCAGGGCAAATCTGTTGGCATTACATTTTCTCAGCTTTTCTTTTTTCTTTTTTTAGTCAAAAAAAATTTTCTTTTTTTTTGAGATAGAGTCTCACTCTGTTGCCTGGGCTAGAGTGCCGTGGCGTCAGCCTAGCTCACAGCAACCTCAAACTCCTGGGTTCAAGCGATCCTTCTGCCTCAGCCTCCTGAGTAGCTGGGACTACAGGCATGCGCCACCATGCCCGGCTAATTTTTTCTATATATTTTTAGTTGTTCAGCTAATTTCTTTCTATTTTTAGTAGAGATGGGGTCTCGCTCTTGCTCGGGCTGGTCTCGAACTCCTGAGCTCAAACGATCCTCCCTCCTCGGCCTCCCAGAGTGCTAGGATTACAGGCGTGAGCCACCACGCCCAGCCAAAAACTATTTTCAATGGCTATAAAATTTTGTTTCATAGACTTGTTTTCTTTTAGCACTTTAAACATACAGTTGACCCTTGAACAATGTGGAGGTTTGGGGCACCAAACCCTGCACAGTTGAAAATCCATATATAACTTTTGACTGCCCCAAAAGTTAACTACTAATAGCCTGCTGTTGACCAGAAGCCTTACCAATAACAGAAACAGTTGATTAACACACATTTTGTATGTTATATATACTGTATTCTTACAATAAAGTCAACTAGAGAAAAGAAAATGTTAAGAAAGTCATAAAGAAGAGAGAATATATTTACTACTTATTGAGTGGAAATGGATCATCATAAAGGTCTTCATCTGTATCATCTTCATGATTAGTAGGCTGAGAAGGAGGAAGAAGCAGAGGGGTTGGTCTTGCTGTCTCAGAGGTGGGAGAAAATCCGCATATAAATGGACTTGCACAGTTTAAATCCATATTGTTCAAGGGCCAGTGTATTTAAAAGTGTCTTCTTTTTTTTATTTATAATTTTTTATTTAAAAAAATACTTTTAAGAGATCGGCTCTCATTATGTTGCCCAGGCTTGACTCAAACTCGTGGGTTCAAGCTGTTCTCCCGCCTCCACCTTCCGAGTAGCTGGAACTACAGGTGTGTGCTGCTGCACCTGGCTAGAAGTGCCTCTCATTGCCTTGGGCTTCTCAGTTCCATAGTTTCTGACAAGAAGTCTACTGTTACTGGTATCTTTGGCCCTCTTTGTTTGTCGTATGTCTTTTTTCCCCTTTGGCTACTTCAAGATTTTTTTTTTTATTTCAGCATATTATGGGGGTACAGATGTTTAGGTTATGTATGTTGCCCTTGCCTCCCCACTCCCCCCAAAGTCCGAGTTTCAAGTGTGCCCATCCCTTGGATGGTGTGCATTGCACTCTTTGTGTATGCAAATACCTGCCCCTCTT